AGAAAAGTGGCAAAAAAACCCACCAGCAGGTTGGTTTATAGATGACCAGGACAGTGGACGTGATCCAGGGTGAGAAGTCTGCCCTCTAGAGGAGCTAATGTGGAGGTGAATGTGGAAAAGGGCGATGTGGAGGTGGAGGTGGTGGAGGTGGAGGTGGTGGAGGTGGTGGAGAGGTTGTGCAGTTGTAAAGTGCTCTCTTTGATGTGCTGGATGAAGAGGTTGCGCTCGTCCTCGGGCGTCCGTCCGTTCTGGGCTCTGACGATGCAGGTGGGTCGGTGCAGGTTCAACATGTAGACCAGCTGCTGCTTCTGCTGCTTCAGCTCCTGGATCTGGGCCTTCAGGTCAGCGTTGACCGTCTCCAGCTTCTCCGACTCCTGGGACCGAGACCACAGAGCACACGCTCAGTACCACGTCAGTACTAGGTCAGTACTACAACAGTACCACGTCAGTACTAGGTCAGGACTACGTCAGTACTACAACAGTACCACGTCAGTACCAGGTCAGTACTAGGTCAGTACTACAACAGTACCACGTCAGTACTAGGTCAGGACTACGTCAGGACTACAACAGTACCACGTCAGTACTAGGTCAGTACCACGTCAGTACTAGGTCAGGACTACGTCAGGACTACAACAGTACCACGTCAGTACTAGGTCAGTACTACAACAGTACCACGTCAGTACTACAACAGTACCATGTCAGTACTAGGTCAGTACTAGGTCCGTACTACATCAGTACTAGGTCAGTACCACGTCAGTACTAGGTCCGCACTATGTCTGTACTACATCAGTACTAGGTCCATACTACATCTGTACTAGGTCCATACTACATCTGTACTACATCAGTACTACGTCTGTACTACATCTGTACTAGGTCCATACTACGTCTGTACTACATCTGTACTGGGTCCATACTCCATCGTAACTACATCTGTACTAGTTCCATACTACGTCTGTACTACATCCGCTAGTCTCCGCACCCAAAACGTCAAACTACGACGCGTGCGATTTCACTCTCCGACTCTTGGTGTCGTTCCTGCATTAATATAAGAATCGGTACCAGCCCGGTCACTTCTACTGTAATGAACGGTTCTTTTCAACAGTACCTTCTGTAAAGTCTCCGTCTTTTCTTTCTTTTTGTTGCGACACTTGGCGGCAGCGATTTTGTTCCTCTCTCGCCTCCTCTTCCTCCTCTCGTGCTCCTCAACCGTCAACTACAAACGAGAAGAAAATAAAAACCTTCATCGTCCGGACCTGAGGCGCAACCAGCAACAGTACCAGCAACAGTACCAGCAACAGTACCAGCAACAGTACCAGCAACAGTACCAGCAACAGTACCAGCAACAGTACCAGCAACAGTACCAGCAGCAGTACCAGCAACAGTACCAGCACCAGCAACA